CAGTAGGCATTAGCACAGTGCTTCTAGGGAGGCAGTTCACTAACTCAGGCGAATGGAGAGATGAGCGCACGCAAGCTCACCTGCTCAGAGACTGTGCTGTGACCCCAGGACCACCCAGCCGGCGCCCCGTGCACCGCTTCTCACTTCAAGTCCCCCAAATATTGCATGTTTAGGGATGTGTAGGGAGCTATCAGAGAAGCTTCAGTATGAATCCAAGGAACATGAAAACAGTCGTGTGAACTAGACCAGTCCTTGCGTTCGAGACACGAAGATGCTACAAAGGATTGCAATCTTTTCTTCACGTAACAAAGAATACTTTAAAGCTATCAGGACCTCAGAGTCCCTAACCCAAGGTAACAGTTCTGAGCCCCGGTTTACTGACACCCGTCGGGCAGTTACGCGGTTGCATCCATCCCACTTCTTCCTAGGCTAGCACCGGTGCCGGGAACCCGGCGGGCGGTCAGACCTGGTGGACCAAAACCATCCAACAACTTAATGTTTGCAGGGTCAGTATTGCAATATGTAGGAGGCATGACATCCACTATCATTGGTATTATTGTAGCTAAGTAAGTGTTGTTCAGCTAAGCCCATTCCCACCCCCAATGGTTAATTTAAAGACTAGCTTCATAGAAACCCAACCACGCGCCTCAGTCGAGTTTTGTAACAGCAGGGGGTCTAAGTTTACTCAACCAAAGGCTGCATCGGACTCTGGAAAGTGGGCAGCGGCTACATCCAAGTCATAAAAACTGGACTTGTATCACAGCTCAGTACACCACGGTTAAGTTCCAGCATACAGCTAACATCCAGGCAGTATCCATGTAAATATACAGTTTGCATCGCAAGGAAGAATTGTATTTTGGGACTTGTAGCCAACTCCTCTAGGTTATAGTTATCGAAAACACGTATACAGGAGTGACAAAAGCATGTGGCCCAAAGGTCTGATAGAGAAGCCAACCCCGTTAGTGATGTGCTCCTGGGAAAGAGAGACTGCGACCCTGTTTTTGAACCTGACAGGAGGAGACTTCCAACATTTAAGGAAGACCCCGAGTCCTTCTGAGCCAGTGATAATGGAAGATTCGACTAACGCACGATCCATTCCCTTGCCGAATAAAGGACACGTCGACAGGAAGGTTCTTCTCTTGGGTCACCGAGCCAAGGTCGGAGCTTAGAAGTATTTCCGCCTCAAAAGGATTTACTCTGTTCTGTAGTCCATAGGTTATGAAACATGGGACCGCACAGTACAGGGTTAAATATTTGCCCGGTTCCTTGAATTAAAAAACATAGTTCCAAGGAACTTAAACTGAAAGACTTAGAAAAGAGAGAGTCAATTGCCTTGTCCGGTCAGAATGATGTCACAGAGTCAGAATTTGGGTTTCCTCATTCAAGGAGGTATTTCATTATCAGCAACACAGGGATTCAGAGTCCAAAACTTCACTTAAGACAACCACAGTGGACATAAAATATTAAGTCATGCTCCAGGAAAGTACCAAAAAGTTTTGCAAAGTTAACATGGTAAAAATAAGTAAGAGAATCCCTAAAAGACGGTCGTCTTGAATACGATTGTTCCTGATTTATCTTGCATTGATTTTCTTTCATTTGACTTTTAACAGCCCGTGTTCACCAGAAATCAATAAATTTAGATCATTTATGCTGTTGGAAAGCTGACTCTGAGATAGCATTAACCTCCCGATACAGTGGCTACACAACTCGTTTTGCATGTCAAAGGTGGGCATTGGGGCAAGGCCAGGAGGGTCATTAATGATGCTACTTTAAGGTGTAGTATCACTATCTGGTGACTCTGGGAGTAGAGCTGAATGCACCGTCCACCTGGAAAGCTGGGATTCGCAATGCCAGCACAAACCCAATATGGACTACTATTTGAATCTGGGATGCTAGTCAGCAGGAGACTAACAAAGAACTTTCTAGGAGCTATAAACCAAAGTATTTTTCAATATAGGGCACTAAAACTATGATATAAAATCCTCTGGGGTTTTAGTGTGCATTTCCTTGTTGTGTACAGCTTGATGCACTCTTTGTTTCAATATTATGCACTATTTTTCTGCGTGAGCAGCGGAAAGAGAAGTGGAACGTGCTCGTTGTCCAAGGCCATTGACTTCTGTACTAGGCTTAGGTTATTTTAAAAGCTTTTAACAGTCTACAGCTCTCAGTAAATACGAGTTTTAACCAGTTAAAACAACAGTACACAGGAATGGAAAATGCTCTCTCTTACACTCCTACATGCTGGTTTAGAGTTCATAAAGCATCAGGCGTTCTTGTTATCTCAGCAGTGGAGGCTCTTTTTTTCTTTTTCTTCTTTTTTTTTGGAAAGAATATAAAAAAAAAAAAACCAAAAACCAAAGCCAAAAGATATAAATTCAATACTTTACTCCATTAAGTGGCTGAGAAACCCCCCGCCCACAGTCTCTATAAAGGTTTACAGCATTTTGGTTTGTAGGGCTGGGCAAACTGGCTAGTAAGCATTTCTATACAGATCACATTCAGATGGTTTGCTAGCTTGAAAACACGATCCCCTGAATATAGGTCATAATCACAGTTTACTCAAATAGTCCCTGAATCATATCATTAATATTTCATTCTCCTTCGTGCTGAAGTCCCCCTTGCAATACGAGGCACTGCACCAAGACATCCATTCTGCAACTTGCTGGAGAGAGGACCCGTTCTCCAGGTCTTGCCCTGACAATGTGATGAAGGCAGACAAGCTCACAAACTACGGTATTAAGTCACTTCCGCTTTTACAGGACATAGGTGAAAGGGGGAAAAAAGCATGCGGGGGGAGCATTTTTAAAATTAGCCAAAAAAAAAAAAAAAAAAGGTTGACAACTAACTGTAAGGAGCAGGGGGCCAAGGACTTCAGTGGGGTCCCCCCACTCTGCCTTGTTGCCGCGTTCAGATTCAAAGAGGATCCTTGCCGACAGCCCCTCCCTGGAGACAGCTGCACAAAGACAGCATAACTCTCACTTTTGCAACGTGGGCAGAGATGGTGACATTTTAACTCCCTGCTGCTGGAAACGTAGGTGTCTGGCAGACTCGCTGCGTGCCCCAGCTACATTGATCAAGTGCAGAAGAGGTTCATGACAACAGCTGGGGGGCGGAAGATATTAATACAATGGAAAGTGCTGTCAACTGATGCCGACTGTACTCTCCACTGCCTCCAAATCAATTAACGTATTTCCTTACGTATTAATATTTGAAGAGCGACATTAAAGTCTTCAGTATTTCCAGGAGTTTTGGAAACTTCTCGGCGTGACACAGTCTAACAGTCTTGATGCAAAAGAAAGATTTTAACCTGTCCAAGAGACTTTTTGTAAACTGGTTTTCACCTTGCGCTGAATCACTGTGCTGCCAAACGATCGACTAATAATCACTAGAACATTACAAAAATAACTAGGAAAGCTCCTTGAAACCGTCATAAGCGGACGCCAGCTGATTTTATGGCTAGACAGAGTAGAGACAAAAGCTTGCGATAACTATGGGCCTCATCCTGCAAGGTAGTAGTTTGTTAAATCAGTGAACTCTCCATGCACGCTTTGGCCTACAGTTAAGCTTTTTAATAATAAAAAAAAATGCTGTGCTGCATCCTAACCTGCTACAATATCCTTAAAAAACGGGATTATTTGTCAAAAGTGAAAAACAAACCAGCCAAGGACAAACAACCACACTTAATCTCATCACCGGCTCCGAGACAGCACGCTCGGTTCAGACAAAGCCTCCCTGTTCGCACAGCACTGGGAAGGGCCTCTAGTTTTCCTGTTTGAATTAGGCTGTGATGGGAAAGGTGTTAATTCACAACAGGAAACAGACTTTTATCGAAATGAGGACAATCACACCCGTCTCAGGCTAGCGGGGCCTTCCGTTGACCTCACAGACGTGGAGACACCAAGTAGTTACAGGAAATATCTACAAGCTTCAGCTGCATTTTTCTGACACCAGGGAACTGAGCTTTTGAGTAAGGGTTTCATGACCACAAGTCGGTAGCCAAAGAAAAGGACAAAAGGGCCAAAGAAAAGGACAAGAACATCTTTCCACGTGACACTGTTTCAGTGATTTTCAGCTATTCTAGGGTACTGGTTGAGGTTTGCATCTCCCTGCCCCACTTTTCCAAAAGGCCGTGTAATAATGCTGTGCAAAAATGATTCTTTAATTCCTTACGGGGCACCAGCAGTGAAGACACAGCGCTAGCTACAGTGCAGCCACCCCAGCCCCACGTTGTGCAACTCGTCGTCTCTATGGGATGGAGCAGGTCTGGTGCAAAGGATTTTTATTCTTTTTTTTTTTCCTTTTTTGCAGAAAGAGGAAAGCACGCAGGATCACAAACTTCTTTACGTTTATACACAACAAGGAAACTGGAGAGTCCACTCACTCCAGTGACCCTGGAGAAATAAAAGCTCTTTCCTGACGACCCACACAGATGTGCCTACCACTGTACTCGCCGGAGAAGGAAGGAGTTTCTTGACGTGGGCAAGAAAAGCCTAGCCCAGGGACTGGCTCAATATTAGCTGCCTGGTAAAGCTAAACAGAACTAAAAAGCATCAACTTCTTAACCCGGTTACTCTGCAAAGTGAAATGAAAGGACAACGCCACGCTTCTAACAGAAGCAGAAGAAAAGGGCAGTATTCGGTTAAAAAAAAGACCCTTTCATCGGATCGCTATCCTCCAATGTGAGTTCTCTTGTTTTGAAGCTATCTATCTAACAGGACACGTCCCCCAGAGAGAGGGGAACATTTGCTGAACTACGTATGTAGAGATGGCCTTTCTAATGTCACAGGTACGTTTTCTTTCCCGGGATGACAGCGAGACATCTCTAGCTGGACGTGCAAATGCAACTGGCCGTACGACTGCGCCCTCGGGGAATTCCTGAGCAGAACCAGACAGCGATGTGCGTCTCGGCACGTGCGTTGGACTCCTGCCCCTTCGCAGGCTCCCCCACACTGCATTCCCCCAAGAGCAAACACGTGCTAAGACAGGCTACACAAAGAGGCTTAACAATGAGGCCAGGGATCTGCAGAGTCTTGGCAAGGAACTCGCAGACTGGGATCAACTACGCGCCATAGGGCCATCGTTACACGGAGCGACCGAGAGCCCCAGACACTGGTGACCAGGGATCACTCACTGGTGTCACGCTGAATGGAGAGTCGTTGAAGAACCGGGTTCTGCTTCAAAGCTCAGAGAAGAGGAAAGACTTCAGCAAATTTAGTCCTGAAACTCCTACTATAGCAAAGCATCCTTGGTTCCTGAATCCTTGCTCGGCAACCTGGAGGAAGGTGTTGGAATCCCTGACAATTTCTACAGGAAAGGGAAGGCCGGCGCAGCTCTGCTCCCCACCGCACGCTCACGGTCCTCCGCTGTACGAATAATCCGCCTTGTTGTGCATCACCAGCTTGTTGTCTACAAAATAGAAACTGTCCGACTGCGTCTCGTAGGGGTGAAGGATCATCTCTCGAACTGCAAAACAAACGGTGGGTTTTAGCTCACGGCTGAAAAACACCCCGGAGCCGGTGCTTCCATCAGCAACTGCATACAGCTGGGTAAAAGCACATGGGAAAGGACAGGGGCCGAAAGCAAGGAACCGCGACAAAGTGTGCTCTGTCCAGCCCCCTTTCCTTAGCGTCCGTGACGAGCAACGATAGGCTAACCCACACATCCTCCCAGGAAGAAGGATCTGGCAGCCCTGCTTTACCGGTGGGCACCTAAATCACAGAAACACTGCCCGAGGGCACGCAGGAAATCTGTAACAGGGGCAAAAGGTCAGCCCAGATCTCCCGAGACCCAGCCCAGTGCTTTACCCATGAGACGCCTTCCTTCCCAAGGCCAGGGGACAGGCGGTGCATGAACAACGCTGTGCAACGTGCTGTTCTCGTTCGGCCCCTGCTTTGTGCATCCACATCCATTTGCATAACTGGCATCAGATGTCTGCACGGCTGAGAGCACCGCAGAGGCCTCCAGCCAGTCACACTTCCTACTACCAGTTTTAAAGTGGTTGGTAGATGTTTTAATATGTGCCACCAACTTTGAAGTGGTTAGTAGATGTTGTAACAAACAGTTAATTGTCTTTTTAACTATCTCTAACACCTTCTCTTGATGCACATCACTTACTGCTAGTGGCTGCACCATGCTTATAACATTTGCAAATCGCCCCCTGATCCTTTGCAAAGGGTTTTTACCCCCATAAAACTGCAACCAATGCATCTCTAGAGGTGTGTGCATGCTTTCTCTTTCAGTCACTGCCAGCTGCTGAAAAGTCTTAGTGCTGGAGTCTTATCTTGACAGAAGTAAAAAGAATGAAGCTCAGTTTTCAGGTCAGCATAATTTATAGAGCTGACAGACAGCAGGGAAAAAAAAGAAATTTGAGCAAGTCCGATCTGATTGCAATTGGGAAAGTGGCAGCACGCAGCTACCCCACCCAGCCTCTGCACAGAAGCAGTTCTCTGTTGACAGCCCCGGCTCCGCGTGCCTTGGACTCCATCTTCTAGATGAACAGTGCAACAATGCTGATTTCCACAGCTGAGCTGCACGGGCTGCTAAAGAAACGGCAACGGATTGCAAAATCATTCAGAGCTTTAGCTGCACTGAAGCCATTCTCAACATGCCCCACAAAATGGAAGTCTGATCTGACTGTGATTGGGAAACAACTGCCGGACAGGGACACCGTTTGGGAGGGAGGTGGGTAAAAGGGGAAATATAGCTTCTTCTGAGCCAAAGTGCTGTTTTATTTAGATTTGCTTTCAAGAGCATCTGAAGGGCTCTGACGTGATTGAGGTTTATCCCATAAAGGCACCACACTTAGGGAGCAAGTGATGGTCTCCACCCCAAAACACTCCCCGTCCTACACTGGAACTGAAGGTGATAAAACAGCAACCGTGGCAGCAGCAAAGCAGCTAGGAATCAGTGTGTTTTAAACCCACTGCTGCATTAGCGCTTTGATACACATGGCCATGAGCTACAATACACAGAGCAGCGAATACCCACTGCACCGAGGCTGGGAAAGGGAAGGCAAATGAAGGGTGAAGTCTAAAAGGGCCCAACAGGTTTCAGCTTTATCAGTGCAATGCGCCATAGGTAAACCCTACGCGCTGCATTGCCAACGTGCCCATCAGCGCCTGGCCACTTCCCAGGCACGTGTCCGTATCTGCCTAACAGCACAACTGCTCTGGTTCCACTAGCCTTTTCCCTCGGGGTGAAATTTTCTTCACCCCTTGCAAGCCAGCAGCTGTGTTATGGCTCACCACGACTGTGGCTGACCATGACTTGGCATGAGCGAATGAATGGGCTGTCAGGTTAGCACAGGTTTCTACGCTGGTTTGGACTCTCCCATTAAAACCCGTTCCAAACACCGTGCTGTACCATCCCTCCAGGCAAACCCATGACTGGACTTACTGAGATCCTCCGAGAGCTGTGGGAATTCGTAGATGTGCTCACAAGTGTTTTTACTGCTGGGGATACAGAACCCAAACTCAAAATCAAAGCTCTTGAGCAGCTGGTCCCGGAAGTAGTGCCTCTCGATCATGCGGAAGTTGTTAATGGGCTTGTCCCCTACTGTGAACTCCACCCTGCGAGAGAGAAAAGGAAAGCTGAAACAGTGACCTCCTGTGTAGGCAAGTCTTGGCTTTGACCTGACCCCAGGTGCTATCGCTGTAGGCTCCGGGATATATGACGCTGTACGACGGGTAAATCCTGCCGTGCAAAGTATCTGCCCTAACCTAAAATGAATATTCGCTATAACGAGGTGGGCGTCAGCTGGTAAACAACGTGGCTCTCCAGTCCCAAACACGAGGGATGAGGAGTCCCCACCAAAGCATAGTGTAGCAGCGTTGGCCAGGGTACAGCAAGAGGCAGCAAGTTCCCAAAGCTCAAAATATTCAGCCTCCAGATTCTCATTTTACAACTGAGCCCTTCGTCAGGATTTCAATCAGGCACCTACACCCTGGAATCACCTTGCTGCTGCTTCTGTCTTTGATAAGAGTTAAGTTCATCTAAACCACCTCTCGGGAAAAGCCCCGCTCGGAGGCTGAGTCTGCTGAGCTGCAGTCTGACCAGAACCCAAACCGATGGCTTCTCTCCGGCTGAAAAACAGGCCTGCGCTAGAAACAGCAGCTGACGTTTAATTATAGCATTACAGGCCCGATGCCATAACGACAATGGCTGCCAAGCTCTTAATCTGATCTAATTCAGACACAAGTGAATGTCCCCTTTGTTTCCCTTCGCACAGGTCCAGCCCCATCCTGGCCCAATGACCTGATTCTCCACCTCCAATAAGAACCAAACGGGGCTTTTGCCCACCTCGGAGTAAAAGGTGTGGGGATACCTGCCAAAACCTGCACCTTCCCACCCCAGCCCCCACCGCTACCTGTCGCTGCCAGGGGTGGGGAGTGATCAGAGCAAGGGCGCTCTCATGACCAAAAGCCAGTTAGCTGTTCCATAGTGAAGGGCACGGCGGGCCACACACACTTGCTAGTTTGTTTGACTTGTTTGTAGCTGCTAAAGGAGGGAGAACAAATACTGAGAGCGCAGGATAAAGCAGATTAGAATGGCTTCGTGTAAGACAGGGACCGGGTGACACCAGTACACACACGGAGCAGAGGTGCTGACAGGGAGACAGCTCAAACCACAGGACGTGAGGAATCCAAGGGCTGCACATAACCCTTCCGGTCCAAGGAGCGAGCTAACGACCCTTTCGCCCCATCCGCTATGACGGTCACCGACCCTTTCGCCCCAACCCGAACGCCTCCACGGGGCCCAGGTGCCAGTTACTTACGTAGCTCCAACTTGCCGAAGTCTAAGAAAAGCTGGGGTGAACTGATAGCGCACGAACCGGCCGGCATTGGGGTCAACATCCTTCTTATCGCTGTGCTCACGTTCTGCAAAGGCACAAACCAACCCTCCATCAGCGGGGAGGGAGAAACAGGCCTGGGCTGCTGCACTGCCTGGCCCTTCCCCCAGAGACCCCTGGAGCTTGCCCCCACATTGCTGGACCCCAGCCAAATATGGCACAGGTAACCCGAGGCACAGAGCGGTTGGCTCTCTGCACAAGGTGGGTACGGCCTGCCGGCGGGGAGCTGGCAGGGAGGATTCAGGGGGTGAAACCTGGCACGGCCGCCCTGCAGCAGCGTGCAGCCACGGCACATCTTCCCAGTCAGCAGCTGCCGGGAGACGGGGGTGGGAGGGGTGTCTCCCTGGAGAAGCAGTCAGGGCTGTATACACCACGATGGCTTCATCAGGAGAGGCTTTGGCATAAGCAGGAAATGTAAAAAAACCCAGAGGCTTTGGCTAAAACAGCAGGACAAATGAAATGCTGTGAACCCTCCAGCGCAGCCTTGCTCGCTGCCTCGTCCTCCCTGGCACTAGGGACATTACCCTGGATGCAGCTCCCACCCCCCCACACCCAGTCCTTGCAGGGCTTTCCCAAGGGGCCGGTTAGGACAGCGCATGGATTTGCAGTTGCAATGTGGATTATGCAAACATTCCCGCGTCACCGAGACCAGCAAGACGCATTCAGCCCCAAACCTAACTGGGAGCAAACCCAGAGCGCAAAGGCCCAGCACTCCTCAGGCTCCCAGGCCTCTAGAGCTGCTTTGTGGACTGTAAAGAGCAGCCTGCAGGTCTGAGCACGGGATTAAGACCTGCGAGCTCCAGAGGCTGCTGCCGTACTGACTGCAGCGTGACCTCAACAAGCCATTTCAGCCCCGTGCCTCAGTTTCCCCATCTGCAACAGAGAGAAAACTTGGCCTGACGTGCAGGGAACGGGGAGTTCAGAGGGGAACACCTGAAAGCCTCGCACGGGTGCCCGAATCTTCGTTGCTACCGGCGGTGACAACACATAACACCAGTGATAGCAGGCAAGGCAAAACCGTATGTGCCGTCTGTTGTTTTCCCCATTGGTTTGACAGCACGTCACGGCCCGTTTCCTGCCCACGGAGCCTGCTTCTGGGGACACTTCTCTTCCCTGCTTCTGCGAGAGAAGCTGAGCAACAGGGAAAGGCATCGGAGGAACTGCAGCAGGCGAGCCCAGGCCTGCATCCGCGATACCGGGGCAGGGACTGACATCTCAACTATGCAGCTGAGTTGCCACCAAGGGACTTGATCTCTCCTGGCTTCACCTGTTGCAGCTGGGTTTCCGGGCCCTGACTTTTATTCTTAACTACATGGACCGGGCTCTGAGCTGCCCTGTTCGTCCCAGGGCCGGCAAGGGCCTGCAGCCCGAGGCTGGAGAGAGCGAGGGGTCCCTTGCAGCCATGCGGCGCTGGTCGGCACTCACCAGACGCAGGCGGCTTAGTGATCTCGAACAGCACCGTGCCCGACTCCATGTCCCGGATTTTGAACCTGGTGAAGTCGATCTTGTACACGTTTTCCTCCGGGGTGCACAGATAATCTGCGGAGGACGTGCAAAGTCAGCGAGGGAAAGACCGGCCACAGGGTCACGGCCAGCTGCGGGGGTGGCTGCACCCAGCCCCACGCCCCCTCCCTTGCTAGCACAGCTGCACCCCGCGGGGCTGCCGGCCCCAGCATGCAAGGGACAGGTGAACAGTGCCTCTCCCACGGGCCAGGGGGGCTGTCACCTTGCTGCACCCCTGGCCCTGTGCTTTCAGGACCCACTTTCTCCAGGGCATGGGCAAGGGGCCGGCACCTCCAGCGTGCCCCGGCCTGTTCGGTTTAAGAGGCTTTGCCTCTCCCTAAAGCCGCCCTCTGGCAGAACGCAAGCGCTAAGCAGCTTTGGGGGCATTAAGCCGCCTTCACTTAAATAGAACGAGAGATTCCCCCTCCCTGCCCCTGGCACGGGGCTGCCTCGCCTCCCCTCTCCCTGAGCGCCCTCCAGGCCAGCGCCGCTACCTCTTCCCCTGCTCTCGGGATGGAGCCGGACCGCACGGCTGGAAGGGAGGCTCCTCCCTGCCTCTGGCAGGGCTAACACGGGCTGCAGACCAAGGCTGCCCACTTTGTGCTTGCCCTGTAGCCAAGCCTCTGGGCATCAACCTTGCTGTCACAGAAGAGGGCCTCAGTGGCTCCCCACCCATTACCATTCAGGTCCTGGCTGTCACTAGTCAAGTTGCAATGGCAAGCCGCCGCAACACCTTAATACTAGCAAAATCCCGATGGGTTTGGTGCACGGGCACATGCAAGGCTGACGTATGACAGCCCGCTCGGCAGCCCAGTCCCAGCTCTTCCCCTCCCACCACAGCTGCGGGTCGGTCACCTCATTCAGCACCTGCTCCCCCAGGTCCAAAGTGGGCACGGACCCACCGCCCGGCAAGCAGGAGCTTGCAGCACGTGCAGGGGCGTCACTGGCGCCTGCAGCTGCCAGCTTTCACATGCCCACGTCTAGTGCGGCACGAGCCCCTCCGTTCTGATGCCACGACGTTGGGCAACAGCCAGCCCAGAGCACGTCCATGCCACGCAGCACGGGCCTGCCTGGGTGCACGGACCCTCAATCCTGCCTACCATTATGGTCACGTGAAGGAAGACAGACGGCCCTCCCTGCCCAACAGCCCCCGGCGCCAGGCCGCGGGTAGGAGCCTGCTGAGATGAAGTCGGCTGCATTTCAGCCGTTGCCCTGCTGCTGGCCAGCACCGTGCATGTCATCTGGGTTATGAGCAACCCCATCCAGCCATCTCCATGCCTGCAGAGGCCGACATGCCCACGTCTCCTCTCCGCAGACATGCCCGCTGGCACAGGGAGCAGAAGCATTACACTTGCTTTTCGGAGGCTTTTAATGCCGAGTGCTGTCACCAGCAGCTCAAAGGAAATGGGGTCTGGCAAGGATGCTATCAGCCCAAAGCCACCAGCGCGGCACAGATGGGACCCCAGCGGCCCCTTGATGACGGCTGCTTTGGGAGGACGAGTTCTCCCCAGGGGAGAGCCGGGCCTCGCCACACGCCTGGTGGGAGCCCATCACCTTTCTACCTGGCTGCACAAGGCCTCATTTCTCGGTGACACCGGAGTGAGAGAGAGCCTGGCACTACAAGTGCCCCAGGGCCCAGGATGCAGCAAACCCCGCCGCTTGCACTCGAGGCTGGTGCCGTGGGAAAGCACGGGGCCGTGCAAACCAGCCTGACCTGGGTCGGGGTCCCACAGACCAGTCCCAGAGGCCACTGCTGCACGGCCAGGACCCCCCCTTACCCCGCTGCGCGCAGGGCCAGGGGTGCAAGAGCCGCCAGCCCTGCCAGGCCCGTTCTCCCCTGTTTGTCCACAGTTAATTATTATGTGTTTTCCTTTCCCGACTAGCGCCATGGCAACCATTTTATCCTCTTCCTTGGCAGCAGCGGTTGCTATAGGAACAATGTCAGCGGCTCATCCAAACGAGAGGGAGCAGAGCAGAGCTGCGGGCAAAGAGCTGACGAAGGCAGACGCCGGCTGGCTGGGAGCCACGAGCCTGCCCTGCCTCTTGCAGCAGGCCTGGCTTCCCCAGCATCCCCGTACCTGCCTGGATGCCCAGCGGGAGATGCCAGCTGCCAGGGGCGGTGCTGGGACCAAGTCTTCCTTCCCAGACCCCTTGGCGGGCACCGTCCGGGAGGACAGAGGGAAGAGGCGAGCGAGACATGACACAGACCAGACTCCTACCAGCCCGGATGAAGGCGCCTGCCTCCCGAGCACAGAAAAGCTGTGATCTGAGACCTAGATGGCACTCGTACAGTGCCACACACGGGCATTTCTCAGAGGAGCTGGCAGCCGTACGGCAGTCCTGCTGGGAACAGCATCGCTGCCCGGGGAAGACCACGACCCCAGTCAGGCCCCGAAACAGCTCGGACCTGGCGGGAGCCTGGCTGAAGTCTCCACGTGTGTGCCCTGGGGCTCGCACCCTCCGGGCGGCTGGCACGTGCCTTCAGTGCTAGCCGGGATGTCAGAGCCACAGGACTGCGCCCGGCTCAGGGCGAGGCGTGGAAAGAAGGCAGCGCCGGGTCCCGTCTTGGGTGGAGGGACAAAGTCAGTTGTGCCTTCGTTGCTCGAGGCAGATAGCAGCAGGGGGGACTCTCGGGTTTCTCCGGACAGCCCATTTCCACCCGGGACGGGCACAGCGAGGCTGGCAACGCCTCCCAGCTGTTCTCACGCTGCATCTCTCAGCCGGTTGCCAGCACAGGGTGGCCGAGTCGCCAGCCTGCCAGGGAGGGGAGGGCCCCGTGGGCCTTTGATCCGAAGCAGCGCGAAGGGTGGAAGCAAATGAGCTGCCCCCAGCTTCCCTACCCGAGCACGGTGACCTGCCCGAGGCAGCTCCGTGCCCACAGCCAAGACCTCCCTGCACACGGCTGGGCCACCCGATGTACAGGACACACAAACACCTTCTCCTTTGTCCTCAGCCCCACGTGCCAATCTGGGCAGCTCGGGACCAGGACCCGCTGCCTCCGTGCACGATCCAGTCCAAGGGACGAGCTCCTCCCGTCCCAGGGCTGAGCTCAAGGGGACGATGCTGCACCGAGGCAGCGTGGATGTTGCTGCCCGTTCACCACTACCAGGACAGGTGATGTTAAGGGGCCGGGAGCAGCTGTCACAGGACCATGCTGCAGGACCGCATCAATGGCTGCAGTGAGAGCCTGGCCTGAACAAGCACACTACTAGTAGAGGCACCCACAGACACAGGCCTGGGACAGACGGGCCTCCGACTCCACCGCTACATCCTGCCACCTCCCACAGGAGCAGCAAGGAGGGGGAATCCCAGCCTGGGTGCAGGGCGGCATGGCCTTGATACTGGGCCTACCCCCGCGACAGGGGGATGGTGAGCAGCGGCTGCTACAGAGAGGGAAAAGCGTCTTTTCCCCCCAAACCACCTCTGGGGACTCCGCAGAGAAAGGAGGAAGAGAAACAAGTCCATGTCACTGCCCGTTTGCATGCCAGTGCCCACGCACCCCGGGCGAAACCTGCCGCTGCCACCCCTCCTGCTGCCATGAGACAGGAAAAGGCAGGACGCGCCAGGGCCCAGCCCAGCCATGCGGTACGCCAGTCACCAGGGGCCCCAGGCTGGATCAGGACCCTGGCTGGCTCAGTGCTTGGGGCCCCTGGCTCCGAGCTGAGCAAGAGACAGCAGCCCAGAGTCCTATAGCTCCAGCGGCTTGGAAAGCAATGCAGATGAGCCCTTGGGGAGGGGACGGTGCATGCATCACAGCCACTGGTGCCTGCCTGGAGGGTGGGAGCATCCCACCCCGCGCACAGCTCAGCAAGTCTCCGCTGTGCTACTAGGCAAAGGATGAGACATGCAAGAGGGTCCCAGCCCTGGGCTGCAGCCTCTCGCCATCCTTCAGCCAAGGAGCAAGGTGGTGCACATGGCCTGCCGGCCAAGGGACCCTGGTCCCCTGCCCCACGGCCACTCTCCTCCACACACCCAACACGACTCCGGCCCCCACGGCACAGGCCACATGCAAAACAATCAGCGCTGCCCTCCAAAGACAGACTGCAACCCCACCAACACAGCCCCCGAGAGCAGCACCCATGGGTGCCCCTGCTTCCCTGGGCCGGGAGCAGCTGCTTTTGGAGCACCAGCACAGTGTGGGAGGCTGCAGCTGGCAGCGTGACGAGAGGAGAGAGATCCCGGCGGTCATGCCAGCCTGTTTCCTAACATGCTTTAGCCAACAAGGTCAGCGGCTATTTAGGAGCTGGCGCCCCAGACATAAGCCAGGTCTCCGGCAAAGACAAGTGAAGATGAATCTGAGGAGCTGGCGATTAGGAGATTATCCGCTTGGAAGTTCTTGGGCGATGACCAGAAATAGCATGGATGTGCACCCGAGGGGCAGGCGGGGGGCGCA